GAAAATTAAAGCGTAGAAGTAACTTCTCTATAGTATACAGACATAGAGAGTGATCCAAGGATTTTTCATGCTGATTGGAGCTCCCAAATGCTGTCAAGAAGAAATGTGAAGCAAGGTGTGGTCTGAAGTTTCCCCCTTCTAGAAATGAACACTGTGAACCAAGACTACATTTAGTAGTACCTAACATTTAGCTTTCCCACTTTGTAGGCTAATGCTTTAGTTACTAAGATATATAAAGCAGTCCTCATTACCCTGCTGTGATTTTTAAGCTGCCACTATTTCCCATAGAATGCTGAGAGGCCTTCATATGCTTAGTCACTTGTAGTCTATCAATCCCATCTGGGATTTGGGAGAGGCTTGTCTCAGTGTCTGTAACTCACATAGTGTCAGGCATCTACTTCTTGAGGTAAATGCTATTTTGAGCATACCAGAAGGCAGAACCACAGCCAGTTAGGAAACATTCAGATTCAACACAGAAGTACCCAGGAGGCTTAAGCAAACACAGCATAAGAGTTACTAAACGTGATTTTTAATTTTAGCTTTGAACTTTGCTGTTTGAAGCTTCTCCAAACCACTTGGAGCTAACTCATGTATTAAAAACTACATTTTTTTTTTTGAGAAATGTTACTGATCTGTAATTATTGATGACAATCTGAATGTTGATAGGAATGCACATGAGTCGACCTTTGTGCACAGAGATCAATATTTCAGTATAATACGGTCTGTACACACTAAATTACATGGTTTGGTTTCCAAACTATGATTTTGTCTAGCTACTCTCCTCTTCTGACAATGTTAGCTTGCAGAGAAAAACTCAAAACAACAAAACAAACAGAACACATTGGCAGCTGTATCATTTAACAATCAGCTAACAACATGGAGATTGTATTCCAGAGAGAGAGAGTAGTATCACTTTCAGTCAATACATGTAAGGAATTACAAAACTTAGGCCTACTTTCCTCATTATTTATTTTCATTTTTTTTTTAATTTATCACTGCTAGCCAATATAAGCTTAGCATCTAGTATCTTAATTTAATAAGGAGAAAGTGAAAACTTTTAATAGAATTTATCCAAGCAAGTTACTGGGAATCTTGGCAATTCCCATGAAGAAACCAACGGGAAACTTAGATAAAGCAAGATCTTTAGAGAGCTAAAACAAATTCAAATACTCTGTAAATAATTGCTTGAGTGAGGTTTTCTATGCTATAAATATTTTCTTACTATATAGGTACAGAGCTAATTTTGTACCCTTGAGCAGTTCAAGTGGACTTATAAGCATCAGCGTCCTTGTATTTTTCCATCTAATCCCGCAGTGTCTCAAGGGAAAGCTGCAATTTTCAGAAGACAGAGCAATGCCACACAGCTCTATAAGCAGTTTTCCCATAACTGTGTACATTGAGGCAGAAGAAATAACAGGGAAGTTAGCAGAGTCTCTATTCTAAAATATTCCCCAGCAGATAAGAGGCAGGCCTTGTCTGCATTAACTGCTAAATTAACAGCATCTAACAGAGCAGGATAGAGCCATAAACATTGGGGACTACATGTACAGCCATTTCATCACAGTACGAGTAGGGGACATGTCCTGCAGTAAACAGTACCAATACACACCTCGCCTTTCCTCTTCTCAGGCAACCTAGATATTAGGACCATGATAAGAATAAGCTTCAGGCATCCTCTAGAGTCAGACCAGGGCCATTGATTTGAAATTATAGTTCAGTGTTTACATGTAAGATGAAGGAGAAATCCACAATAATTGATCTGACCTCATTAGCATGTAAGATTTTAGAATAAGCTTAAAATAACAAACACAGAAGTTAATGAAACAGGACAAAGCTCCGTAGCGTTCAGAAAAAAAGTGTCTCACTTTTTATTCATCTCTTCACAGCTAGTAATAAAATCAGGCTAACCTATTTACCAGAGCCTTTTACTTGAGGAACTGGTGCTTCTACCTACTTAGGGGTTTAATGAAGTTGTATTTCAATATGGTTCACCCTCTTCCAGCATACTATTATTTTCCAAGAAAGATATTATTTTGTAAAGTCTAGGCTTCTCCCCAGTTTCTCTCATCTTTTGAAGTTCTGAAAGCTACTGCTAGGGCCATGTACTAGAATCTTCTCAGGGAAAGAAAAAAGAAACCAAACCAAATACAGTTCTTTCCTGCTCACTATAAAGCATAGGCCTTTTACACTTCCCACATATGTCTTCAAACACCTTGTCTTCCTTAGTTAGCAACAAACTACAAAGTTCCACCTAACTCCAACACAAAACATGCACTAAGATTAATCTTTCCATCAAGACTTGTTTTGTTAGTTAACATCTCTGCAGGTGTGCCAAATCCCTCATTTACCAGATGCATATGCTCCAGATGCAGCCATAAATGCCCATTAAGCTAAGTATAAAACTTTTCTGTCAGTAGAAGATAATGAAGGTTTGGTTGTTCATTGATCACATATTGCTTCATGAAGCAAAGACAATTCTCAACAAATCTATTTCCTTAAAAAGAAAGGCTTTTGCTGGGAAAAGGGAATAGCAGTGCATGTGAACTAGTAAACATGCACTGGGAAACATGGAACCAGTTAAATGGATAATGGTAAGTTACTTGGAGGGAGTTTGCTATTAGTATTGGTCTCATTAATAGTTCCATTCATGATCTTGATACCAAAAGCAGCAATGTGGTTACAGAACTTCTGAAGATGAGAATATTATATAGTAAGAAATGAGTCATCTTGATTACCAGTAAGATTCCTTTGAACTAAAATGCTAAGTACATGTTTTTGGGACCAACAAATATTTCTGCTTTACCCTTGGAATCCGCTGGTTGAACACAGAGGAAAAGAAAGATCTAAGTGACATAAATAATGTTGCTGTGATACAGAATAATACAACCTTCATCAAAGGCGTTTAGTGTTGTAACATAGTCATTAATGTGACTGAACAAGGTCTTGCAAGTAATTTCAATAAACTGCAATCAAGCAAGATGAAATCAAACTTAGAGATATAGACAAGAGCTACGAGAATAAAGAAGGGAACTAGCGTTTGATTTTATGACAGAAAGCTTTGATTTATTTTAGGTATTGTATGGAAGACTTAGAGATTATATTATTGCATTCTAGAACTTCATCAAAGAGTAAATGTGGTAGAGGATAAAGAATCTTTGCAGTTACAGATGACACTGAAGAAAGAACAAGTGTGCCTAAAATAACTCTGTGAATATATGTAGACTGAAAAATAGGCTTTTAATAATCGCAAAAAATATCTATTTGGAACATCCTCCCAGTAGTTCAACTGGATTTCAAATCAAGTTTATTAATTTACAAGAGAAATTACATGCTACTGCCTGAAAAAGCAAGGAAATAAACAGTCCTTTCCAGTCTCATTCTTCCTATTATTAGAAAAATGATTTGTCTCAGGGAACATGTTAATGAGCAGTTTTGCAATCACTATGAATTAAAAGAGATGTTAGTGGGTCTATCAACACTGACAGCTAACTCAGAGACTGTCCTGAGGAAGTCTCATCTTGTAAAAACTGAGGATTTTTTTTTTTTCACTTTAACAAATTCTGCAGGCCATATTATTAGAAATTGCAGTGTCTTTTCTGCATTTTTACACAAAAATCTATTGTGAACACAAAGAAGCGAGTATTGATGAAGAGCTAAGAAGTGTGAAAGCACAAATGTGGCAGTGAACTATATTTTTAGAGTTCATTTGAGTAGGAGTTTTGAGCCTTCCTCCACTTTCACATTAAAATGTGTAAATATGGAGACTGAATGATTTGGTAGGAACGTGTGCTTGGCTAACAGAGAAGCATCAGCGTCTTCTTGAAAACTATTTTTAGCAAGTGGTGGGCTGTTTTGAAGTACAATTACTTTTATGGCCCTGTCTTGAGGGTGCTATTCCTGACTTGAAGGTGTGTTTACAGAGACTCTCCTCAAACCCGTATGTACATTTGTATACATACTTGCATACTGACACACTGTGTCTGGATAAACCACTTCAGATAAACACACAAGAATCATCCCAAGTGTTTCTGTTTACTGAGATAAGCCCACTCACATACTTGTAAAAACCCAACTTTGCTGCAGTAACCGCGCTTGCAGTTTCCCGATGTTCCTCTTCAACATGGATTTGGCTCGAGTTGTATCCCCTTCACAGCAACCAAGTGCCAAGGCAGACCACAGGTGTTCCTATCTCTTCTATTTCTTAAGTCTCTGCCTCTCTCCTCCTCCCTTACGCACGGCTGCTCTCTCCTCAACTTGTCCCCCTCCCTCGGAGCGCTGACCCACCGAGGCCGAGCACGCACACCGGGCAGGCTGACCAAGGGCCGCGCTGAGGTGCAGGGAACATTCCCTATCCAGAGCAGGCCCCCTCGGGCTGGCTCCCTCCGTCCGTAGCTCCCGCTGTTCCTCCAGCTGAGGCAGAAGACACCGGGCTGGCAGCTGTCCTGCCCCAGCAGAGCGGGCTGCTCACTGAGGCATCACCCCCGCAAGTAAACCGGCCTCCTCCAGGCGCACCCTTCCAAATGCCTGTGATCCTCCTTGCCCCAATGGTGGATCCTCCTTCCCGCCTTCCTCTGGATCTCCCAAAGCCCCCGGCAAAGGAGGAGGCGAGCGCAGGCTCTCGGCGGGCCGTGCGGATCCGAGCCCGAGCGGGCCGAGACGCGGCCGCTCTGCCGCTGGAGGGCAGAGCGCGGAGGGGGCGGTGGCGAACGAGGGGCGGGCGCCGCCGGGCCGCGTCCCCGGCGTGTGAGCATGCCGCGCCGGGAGGAGGAGGAGGGCTTCCTCGGCCGGGACGGGGGAGGTTCGCACTGGAGTTAGTGCCGGGCAAGGAGGAAGAGGGATCGCTGCCGGAAGCGGCGGAGCGGCGGCGGCACTGGGAGCCCGCGGTGCCCCGCGGGTAGCGATGTAGCTGGGTGACAGCGGCCGGAGCCGCCGCCTGCGCTGCCAGCGGGCCGGTGCTGCGGGTCGGGAGCCTCTCCAGGGAGGCGGCAGTCGCGCCTCGCCTCTGCCCCGCTTTCCCTTGTGCCCTCGGCGCGGCCCTTCCGCCCTTCCTCCCTCCGCCGCCGGCCGGGGGCTGCGACCGCCGCCGCTGCTATGGGGCTGCCCACGCTGGAGTTCAGCGACTCCTACTTGGACAGCCCGGATTTCAGGGAGCGCCTCAAGTGTCACGAGATCGAGCTGGAGAGGACGAACAAGTTTATCAAGGAGCTGATTAAGGACGGCAGCCTCCTCATCGGGGCCTTGCGAAGTGAGTCGGGCGGCGGGGCCGGGGGCGGCCGGCAGGGGAAGGGGCTTCTTTTGTTTGAATGGGCGCCGGGCGCGGGCTCCCCTGCCGGCGGCCGCCGAAAGGCGTCTCCTCAACTTTCTCCCCCGCACCCTCCCTTCCTCCCCTGTGCCGCTGTGCCTCGCCTCGCCTGCGGCGGGGCCGGGTGGGTGTCCCAGGGGAGCGGGGGCGGTGCGGGGCCCTGCCCCGGCCCGGGGTCCCGGCCGCGCCCGTCCCGGCGGGGGCCGCGGGCAGCGCGGGGGCGCCGCTGCCGCCGGGGCGCGGACCGGCGGGGTGGTCCCACCCGGGGACGGGGGAACAGCCCAGGCTCGGGGCTGGGGGCTTAGAGTAGCAGAAATCAGAGACTCCTTAGGGTTGGAAGGGATTGTAACGATTCTGCGATTCTGTGACTAAGCCCTAAGCCCTAAGCCCGTAGCCGTGGTGTAGATCGCTGTGGGGTACGGACCAGGCAAGAAGTGTTGCCAGGGTCTCATTTTGGGACGCTGGCTGCTAATTAGGTGTCTTTAGATGACGAAGACGTCTGTAATAAATGGGCAAAGCAAGAGACAAGTGAATTTATAGGAAGAGAATTTATATATCTTATCATACCATACTCCCGCGTCTTCATGTAGTAGATTAACTTTTACGTATTTTCAAAGGGTTCTGAGAGCAGAGATAAACATGAACAATGTAGTGCTTTTAAAGGTCTGTGACTTGAGCAGTGACAGCTTTCTGGGGTGTCAAAAGGACAGTCATGCTCTGAAGCGTATAAAGTGAAAGCTGAAATTGTCAGGAGCGTCACTAGGTTTGCCCTCTTCTCCTGTAACTCCTTGCCACTTTTTAAGTCACTTTGGATCTCTCTCACCTGTTGCCCAAAGTTTTCCTTCAGGTGGAGCTGAGAACTAATTTACAGCATCTCATGCTGCAACGTGAGATGTTCAAAGAAAAGAATGACTTTAATCCTTAAAAATATCTGCCACATTGACATGGTATGCTAGTTTTTGTACAGTGAAGGGTAGCAGTATTGCTTCTTATGTGGACAGGAACAGATGTTGCTGAGCTCTGTAGCTCGTAAGAAACCTAACTGATGCTAACTCAGAATCTAACCCCAAAATTTATCTCAGTACCTGGGAGATAAAACTTGTGAGAATTTTATTTATCCAACAGTTGGATTGAATTGTGCTTTTCCCTGCATCACCTGCTTATAGTTAATTTACAGAATTGTATTTACATAAAGTAGTTCTTATCTTTTTGTGACTTTTTTAATAATGTATTCCTGGACGCATCTCCTTTTTAGTGAGTAGCTGGGTACAAATCTAGCATCTCATATGAATTTATATTAAATTACTGTATCCATGCACACCACATGTGAGATGACATTACATAGAAATAGTGCTTGTGTGTGTGTATATATATATATATATCTATGTGTGTTTGTATTTATAAACTCAATGGTACAGTTTTCTTCCCAGGCAAAAAAGTTTGAGTTTTAGTTGTATTTGTCTTTCTGTTTGCTAAAAAGCTTTCTTCATGTAACGGGAAGTCTGAGCTTGTGTTAAGTAGTAAAAACTTCCTATTTCAAACCTGTAAGATGGTGTGCACAAATAGTAATGACAGATCAGAATACCACATGAGTACTTTTTTGATCTGGGCTAGCACTGGAAATTGACTGCTTTTTGTTCCAGATCAAATATGAAGAAATATAACTTTCTTCTTAAGCTATCTGAAGACAAACTGAGAGAGTTGAGGCTGTACAACCTGGAGAAGGAAATGCTTCAGGGAAACCTTCCTTCAGCTTTCCAGTAACTAAAGAACGGTGTACAAGAGAGCTGGAGAGGGACTTTTTACCAGGGTATGCAGTTAATAGGACAAGGGGGAAGGGTTTAAATTCAAAGTATATGAGTTTAGATTGGATATTAGGAGGAAGATCTTTACTGGGGGGGTGATGAGGCTCTGGAAGAGGTTGCCCAGAGAAGTTGTGGATGCCTCATCCCTGTAAGTGTTCAAGACCAGGTTGGATGGGGCTTTGAGCAACCTGATCTAGTGGGAGGTATGCCTGCCCATGGCAGGGGGGTTGGAATGAGATGATCTTTAATGTACCCCTTCCAACCCAAACCGTTCTATGATTGTCTAAGACAGACTGTTGTAAAAGGAATATTGTTCTTGAGAAGTAATTTAAACCTTGATTTGATGTGAGTAATACCATTATTTTTGTGAAGAATACTTATGAGTCCTTGCTAGATTAAGAGCAATATTTCTGTCTTGAGTAATGACTACTTAACTTGCAGGTTCTCCTAATTTTATTAACTTTTAGTTCAAATGTGTTTCACACAGTGTTTATTGTATCCTATATGCAGCTCTAGAGTGTTATGTTATAGTGTCTTTTAACCTTAGGAAAATAAAGTCTGGTCTGTTATAGTAAGAAATCTTTCTCCTTTTGTTCATTTCAAAACTTTTAGTTTCATGACCATACCTTCCACAGAACACTGCCTTAGTTCCTGTGTTAGGAAAACTGGGGAAATGTCTGGATTTTCCTCAACAAAGTAGAAATCCTGGGTTTATACTGTGCAGACTCTGTTGTAGATGCTTCAAGTAGCACTATTGTAGGTTCCCTAGAGCACAGAGCTTTTGATTTGTTTAAGCAAACTAGCTACTTCTACTCACCTTCAAAATCAGTGGAGTGTAAAATACTTGTGCACGGCTTTTTTTTTTTTTAATTCTTTAATTGTTTTTGAGTACCAAACTGTGAGTAGTTGAGGTCAGTGGTAACTCTTAGGATTTGATCTTTGAATATTTAATAATCTACAAGCCCTAGAGAAAAACGGGTTATTTACCATGCTTTATCTCTTTAGGTGATCTGGAATTTTTATTTACATATCATTTCGTAGGATCAGTTCTCTTGGGTTAAAATAATCCACACTGTGCTGAAGAGCTTCAGTGGAGATGAGTTTTGGAACACATCATCCCTGACCATGTTTAGAGAAGAGACAGTGAAGCAGACTTAATGCAGTTAGAAAAGACTATAAACTTTTAAAATTGGCTAAATATAAGTTTTATTACATGAAGTATGTGCATGGTTTTTCAGGTAGAATTATACTTCTGTATTACAAATGTTACAAAATATTAATATTTGGGCAGTCAACTATCGAAGTTACTGTAACAATGTAATGTTTATAAATACCTGATAAGAGATTCCATGGAAATTGAAGATAGAACGAATACATTTAGTGCAGTATGCAAATATTTTGCATTTTCTTTGGAGTGATCCCAAGATAAAGTCAGTGATTTCGATGTGGTTTTGCTACCCTTATTCTGGAGAGTGCTGCTTTCCCAAGTAGTCTGCAGAGCTGCTGCGTTCCACGAAGCAGAAGCTGACTAGTGTGAATGCAGTGAAACTGATAAAGCTAGGATTGCTATGAAATCCTCAGCAGCTTTTTCGTAGCATTTTTTACACTGTTTCATTGTCTTTCTAAATGTATAAGGCTCTGGGAGTACCCCAGAACAACACAGATTATATGGTCTAGTTTAGTTGGGTGTTAGCATCACATCAAAGCAACATGGCTGGTGAAGGGACTCGACCACAAGTCCTGTGAGGAGAAGCTGAGGAAGCTGGGGTTGTTCAGGCTGGAGAAGAGGAGGCTCAGGGGAGACCTCATCACTCTCTACAACTCCCTGAAAGGAGGTTGTAGCCAGGTGGGTGTCGGTCTCTTCTCCCAGGCAACCAGCAGTAGGACAAGAAGGCATGGTCTCAAGCTCTGCCAGGGGAAGTTTAGGTTGGATATTAGGAAGAAGTTTTTTACGGAGAGGGTAATCAGACATTGGAATTGGCTGCCCAGGGAAGTAGTGGATTCACCATCCCTGGAGGTTTTTAAGATGGGACTGGATGTGATGCTTAGTGCCATGGTCTAGTAAACACAGCAGTGTTGGATCAAGGGTTGGACTTGATGATCTCGGAAGTCTTTTCCAACCCAGTTGATTCTATGATCTGTATGGCCGTAGTGCCTACTTCAGCCTTGTCCTACAGTTAGTATTAATAGCGAGAGAGTAGTCGTCCTTTTTTGCATCAGCTGAGGTACTAAACCCATTACTATCTCTTGGAAGGCTTAATTTCTGCATATAGTAGATGTTCCTATTATGTTAAAAAGTTAGGGTGCTGTCATATAGATTATGTAGGAAATTCCATTATAGAATTACTTAAATACTTTTAACTTCCATAATAGGCCTACTGAAAGTTAATGATATTGTGTTAAACAACCCAGAAAAATGACATGCATCTTGTACAGTTGATCTTATGGCTCATTGTGTGTAGAAGGCTTAATTTTCTTCTTCTGATTTTTGAGACCTTCTCCATCTTAAGACCTATCAAATTCACATATTCAAAGATGAGAACTACATAAGTTTTGGTTTAATGGTTGAAAGTTCTGTGGATTTACAGCTGTTTTAACTAATACTATAGCTTTTAAAGTGTTTTAATATGATGCAAACAGTAATGAGAGCTGTGGTGTGATATAAATAAGATTTAGCAGATATCTTTTGGAGTTTGTAATTAGATAGCAGTCTTTTTAGTATTATTTTACTTCTTGGCACATGGAGAAACAGTTTGGAAATGCCATCTTTTGCAGGGGGTGTGAGGGGATATTTTTTACCTGGGTTTTATAGAAATTTCACACAAAACAACTGTCTTAAAGTGTCTGGCATACAGTTTTCAGGGATTGTTCTCTCCTCTCATTAGCCTAATTATAAAAGTGATGAACCTGTTTATACATATGGAAATTTTGGGAGTTAGTTGTCTGGAAAAAAAAAAAGACAAAATTACACGTAAGAACCTATGATCTTTTTATCTGTTTGGGGAATTTTTTTTCACATTAAAAAAAACCCAAAACCAAACCAGCAACCCTTTGTGTCTTTCCAAAGAGATGCATTTTCCCAGATATCTTTGCCTCACATATTTTAATGAGATTTTATCTTTACAATGTCTTTTCCGG